CTCATCTCATTTATTGGTTTAGAATTTGAGCGGTTCAAACTTAATATTTTGTAAAATAATTTTTGAATATTTTGTATTATAGTTCTAAAAAATTCGGACCAAATTTTGGGAGTTTGAATTGATTCTTCTAATTTTTAAAAATTATTAAATGTTAAATTTAAACTATTCAAATTTTGATCTATTAAAATAGGAAGTAAATGGTTACAATAGGAAGCAAAGAAGTGGAGGGGGGAAGATGGGAGAAAATCCAAGTCAATCCAATCCCCCAATTCCCCTTCCTACTCTCTCCACTATCCCGTTTTTTTTTTTTTTTTTTTGGGGTAATGATCTTATTCTCCACTACCCATTTGATTCCTTGTGCTTCCACTTCCATGAAACGATGTAGTTTCACTAATTTAAATATAACCTTTCTTCTTCATTCTCCTTTCCCTTTTGTTTGGTGCCCTCCCAAGTCCCAGGTGGCCGTTACTCATTGTGTAAGCCAACAAATCGCTGCCACTATTGAGACTATTTTCTCATGTACCCAACCTAACGGCAACTTGTTAGATGGCTGGAGAAGGAACATTGATGTTTTCCTTTTCAATTCCTACATTCGAAGTTTCATCGCTGCCTTTCAATCCAATTGAAAGGCTGCGCAATGAAGGAGGAATAAGATGCGCAAGGATCAAGATTCAATGCTGTAAACTATGGTTAGATAAATTCAGACTTCATTAACCACACCATTTTATACATGTGGAGGAGCATTAGACGGTGAAAAGAAGCAGGACCCTCCAGACCCACATGTCTGTCTCTAGGTGCTGGAGGGAAAGACAAGTGTGAAAGAATTTGAGACCGATTAAGCCATGCACAAAAAATCTCGAGCTAACTAATGTCCAGGCGAGGTACATGTTCTATCTAACCTTGAGCTTTAATCACTCTTGTGGGGTAGCTGATACTAATATAGCGCGTCTATGACCCTTCCTCCTGCTTCAGCTAAAATCAAATTAGGGTTCTCTGGGAGAGGAATCAGGGATAGATGGCTAAGTCCTGATGCTGCATGTGTTAAAATCACGATGTGGTATAACATCAAACCAAATTGAACTACTTGGTCCTCAGGGCTAACAAGGAGGCCAGTCTGGCCGGATCATTTTTAGCTTGTCTTCATGTTTGCATTTTTCAAACCAGAGGTTAGGCTATGTTTGCATGGGTCAGACCTAGTTAAGCGGATTATCAGGTTTCATGCACATCTATGCTTGTGGCTAAAAATCAGAGGTTGAGCTATGCATTATGCATCAAAATTCATCAAGCTCATGCACTGATATGATGGAAGTTAGAAGGATTGGAACAATAATCAAGATATGTAGTTCAACAACGGATTGAGAGTAGCAGCTTCAAAACCAGAAGTATAGGAAATCTGCAAGGATGGGCGCGCAAGATATTCAAGGTCGCAACATCTTTAACAGACGACACAGCATGTCGCAACAAAAGTTCATATGAGAAAGTAGGATCAAATTTAGATGCAAAAACAAATATCTAAAATGCACATAGTTGTTTCAAGCCTATCTAACAGCCAGTGGTCTAAATCGCATGCCAAAGATGGTAAATAACAAAATCATTTTTCGTACGCGATTCAACATCTACGCATGGTTAGTAATAATGGTAGTTAATGTCCTAATTAAATGCAGTTCAAGTGCAGGTCTAGTCCATTCACCAATGAAGATCATGTGAAAAATAAGATCAAAGGTCCTTAATTTGGTCCAACAGCAACATTGGTTTTAATAAATAGATGGTCTCCAACTTCAAATTCTATTCCATCTCTCCACTACTTGAAGCTGAGTCAAAGCTATTCATGGTCTCCGACCTTAATTTGTTCCAACAGAAAATTGGTTTTAATAAATAGATGGCCTCCAGCTTCAAATTCTATTCCATCTCTCCCCTACTTGAAGCTGAGTCATAGCTATTCATGGTCTCCGACCCCGGTCTCTGTTGCCGTGCCTTAAAGTAGGTACACTCCCTTCCTTCCGTGATCTATCCCGAGGTCTTCCTCTGTTCCTGTCATTCTCAACTTCGTTTGGTTGTTTGTTTTCTGACTTTTTATACCTGAACTGTGGCCTAGGGATTACTTTCCCATCAACAAATAAATCACCTGAAATCCACACAAACTTGTTCATGTATCATGACAACCTAAGTTCACAAAAGAAAAAATGATAAGAAAATAAACTATGACTAGAGTCGACCACATACCACCATAATCTTTGTTGCGAATATCAAGATATGAATCCGGCAATACCCAAAGAACACCAGGTAACCCTGTTAAGACAGAAAACTTTCACAAAAATGAGCACACGTAGCATGAAACGCCTACTGTAATGCTATCAATCCTCTTTGGGAGCTCAAAAGTCATTAAAATTTCTAATAACTGAGGCCCTAACATCAAGCTAATAATTCCTCCAATGATGAGTCTGCGAACAATTAACTATACGGTAACACCATCAAAACTCATCAAATGAGCAAATAAGCCTTACACAAGGCAAACATAAACGCACCACAACAACTCAAATAGGATAATTTCGCAAGGTAACCAAAAACTTCAGACAAAATTAAGCATCAAAGTGAGCCGTACCTTTAACTTTCGTTGAAAGCTCTTCGGAAATCTCAGCACCAAAACCTGTATACGTAACAGTAGCAACAGAGTATATTTTCTTTTTGGCTTCCTCCTCACTACAACCAAACAATTATCTTCAGGAAAAAACAAGGAAGAAAAATAAAAGCCATATTAATCGAATGAACAACGCATGGCACCTTCCAACAACTTCGGCGAGGGTCTTAACATAGGTGTTTACCATTTCCTCTTCAGAGGGTTTCGGGGATTGGGGAAAATCCATGATAATAAGCCAGTGCTTCAAGTCGCAGCCCGCGAGAAGAATGGTATCCTTGGGCGGCGCACTCTTCTTGCTAGAGTCCTTAGAATCCTTAGGTTCCTCAGAGTCCTCAGACTTGTCGTCAGCGGGCGATTCTTCCGATTCCGACACCGAAGTCTGGAAACGAATTGGGAATTTCAGGGAACGTGGAAGCAGCGGGATTTGTTTGGGGAGTACAGCAAATGCGATGCGAGAGCGAGAAGAAGCCATGGTAGAAAACGATGACGAGGAAGAAGAAGAAGAAATAGCTCGGAGGAGTGAAGAAGCCAAGGCGCGTCGCGCATGAGAGAACGCCATCGTCAAGAATGCAAGATCAAAGCAGTGAGCAGTGGAATTTCAAGAAGGAAAAGAGAACGGGGACTACAACCCACAATGCCCAGTGAAGAAGGGTTTTAAATTAATTATAAATACATGCAAAATTATGCACAAAAGTAATAATAATTCACATGAAAAGAAGTAATTAAAAAAAGTGGGAAAATAAAAACAATAGTAGTACATGTCTTATATTTAAATTTTAAACATGGTGATTGTGAACTTATAAAACCATAATGAGAGAGCTTTATCTGTCTCATCGGAACCAAATTTACACTGAAAATAGGGTAACAATGACAAATTAATAATCAATGCAAATTTTTTTGGAAAAAACAATTAATGTAAAATTATTTATAAAGGGATGGTCAATTTTATGTTGGGAAAATTACCGAGAAGTCTCAGATAAGGATTTTAATTTTTTTAAAGTTTTATAAAATATATAAATTATTATTACTATTACTTTACTATTAAGTCCTAAATTCTGTACAATTTTAATTTGATAAAGGAAAATTACAATTTGATACTAAATTCATACCTAAATTATCATTTTTGTTTATTAAATTATAATTGTATAAGATTTGAAACTTGAAAATATTTTATTCATTTTATGAAATTTATTGATAATTAAAATTTTATAAGGAATTTTAGAGTGATTTTTACTTTTATGTTTGTCTGCAAAAATAGGTCCAGGATCTTTGGGCTAAGGAGACCAGGATTAGTTGAAAGGGAAGAATTCTCAAATCACTTCCATCATGAATGGAGATATTGTGATGGTTGGACTGAATGAGGAAGAAGACTGAAGACAAAATGATGGCGTGATATAAGTGAGAACAGTGTAAAATTATATACTGATCACATTGAATTCCACACAAATAATCTAGGTTTAAGTTAACTCAGATAATTGTTTTGAATTTGGATATCAAAAAATAGGGATAATTAATCTTTTTGTTTTGAAAGGAGAATAACATCATAAGAATTAATTATGTACAGTTGTAAAATTTAAAGAACTCATGTATGATTATAACATTTTAAAAACTTGATAGGTAAAAATTAAATTTTAAAAATCAGATGGACAACTGACATAAACTTGAAAATTAAGAGTTTTACTGTCCCATTAAAAACTTATTCTTCAAGATCTTAAAACTGTCATGTGGAATATTACACAATTATGTATTAATCAATTGTTTATTCTCTTTTTTTTTTTTTTGCATTTCATTACCGTAGGGTATTAATCAATTGTTTATATATGATTAGACTCTGAAAATGGTATTTGACTGAGCATCAATCATGCATTAAGTGCAAAGAATGCCAAAAACTCCCCATCCTGCCTTCTTTTGACAAAAAACAAAAGCCAGAGGAAGAAAGTAGTTTGGCACCTGCATGAATCGGAAGAGCCAATCACAGGCTGCCGGCAAATGAGAAAATATCTAGATAGTAAAAGAACACTAGCCGTTACAACAGATGAATTACACTCCGTACAATCCAGAAGAATTCTACATATTGCAACAATTGGGCCCAATCTTTGACCTGGGCCAAGGACTATTGGACTACTCTAACAAAAAGAGAGATATGGTGTTGGCCACAAGAAATGGTATTCGTTGAGACTCTGAATTTCACTTCTTCTTCATCTTCTTCTCATCCCTGCTCTGAATATTCCAATGACTGCAGTGAAAACTAGCTACTGACTTCATCTAAAAGTCCTCCTTCAATCATTTGATCGAGATCAACCATATGTATGATTATTTCTGAGACGAGAGAGGATCCAAATATTGTAGACTAAATGATCTGCTATGAGCAGGGTGGTGGAGATTGCATGCCCAGATAGAGTGGTTTGGCATTGAGACATCTGGAGGTAGGAGGGGGTGGTTTTGTTGCCTTGAGATTAATGTTGTTCAGCTGAACATGGTCGCATGGAAAATCACCACTACATCGTAAGTCCACTGCAATTTTCGAAGATGATGTTCCTCTTATGTTCGAATATTGGATCCCACTCAATTTCACACGTGATGGCTGCAGAACAAGAAGTCAAACTCAAAATCAATAAATAGATAATGCGTTTGAAAGGAAACAATAATAGACGGAAATCAAAAGGTCGATATAATATGAATCAGAGAGAGAGAGACCTTCTTATTGCATTTGGCAGGTTCACATTGGTATTCTTGGTCAATGACAATAGGATTCGCAACGTTGTTCATGACAATGTCGTCGAAGATTATTTGTGATGCTGCACCTGGAAACTTGTCTGGCCATGATTTGATTCTGAGACCATTAGTTGTGCCCACCATCGTGCAATTCAGCACACGAATGTTCTTCACCTCTAGCTCATCAGCGTACTTCCCAAGGCTTCCAATGCTGTTACATATGTAGTCAAATCTCAAATATCACAGTTCTATTGACAAGGTAATTAATTAAGTACTAGGTCTAAGAAGTTGTCTTGTATATTACCTAAAACCATGTCCAGGGCCACATGTGACTTTGTTAATCGCCACATTGCTTACCCCTTGAATCATAGAGACACAATCATCCCCAGTTTGAATGAGACATTTAGAAATTTTCACGTTGATGGAATGGCTCATATGAATGCCATCTGTATTAGGGCTATCTCCTGGTGCGTTGATACTAAGTGTTCGTAGTCTAATGTTGGCAGAGTTGGTGATGAAGAAGTGAAACCCCATTGCATTCACTGATGATATGCCTTGTATAAGTCCATCTGTCACATTGTTGAATTGAATACTCTTCACATCCCACAAAAATTACACCCCACAAATTAAATCAGTAAACTATAGATCTGGAAGATATCCATAAAACACAATAGGGTCGTCTATGTTTCAACTTCTCAATTAAGACTTGACAATACTCGAATCTCACTGAGCAAGTGGAGGCTTACACTGGGGAGTCTTTTGCATTCTGGGGAAGTGTCTTTGTCGCAGTCGGTGTTGGCGGCCCACATTTCTTTACCTTGGCCATCGAAAGTGCCAGCGCCGGTGAGTTTGATTCCCCGGAGGTCGGAAAAGATGAGCCATTCGCCGTTGACATACTCTGAAGGGTCAGTGGAAGCGAGAATGGTGCCGTCAACTTTGATTGTGATGGCTTGGAGTGGCTTGCATGGCCCAGCAAAGAACATGGAAGACACATAGAATTTCCCTGGTGGAACATAAAGCCTCGCTTGCTGTGGGGAATTACATACAGTTCTCCATGCTGTCATGAATGCCTGCACAAACACACACAATATACAACACACCATTATATTCTTAATTTCATTTTGATGTCTCCTGTCTTACGTACGTTGTCAAGCATATGGTCAGCGTCTACAGGATTTTTATCTTAAAAGTCAGTTTTATGCAAGAAAAATCCCTCATTTTTCTAGGCACAGCCCTAACAAAATGCAGGGTCTAGTTGAGTAGTTCCAAGAACCCGACCCATGTTCACTATTTAATCTTTAGATGAACCTACAATGCAGGTCTATGTTTTACTTGGCGATCAGATTGGTACGTTGAGATCTGGAGATAAGTTATGATGCTTTGTTGTCTTCATCAAATCCTTTTGCATTCATGTATTTAAAAATAGACATGCATGCGACTCTCATCCCATGAACAGGCCAGGTTTATGTATCTTTTTATAATAAACTAGAGTAGAACAAATTAAATAAGGGCATATGGGATTTGATTGAATTTAATTACCTGAGTGCAATCAGTGACTCCATCAGGTTTGGCTTTGAAATCCAAGACATTGATTATTTTTTCTCCTGGAAGAAGCTTATCAACAGCTAAATTTTCACCCATGAACGTATCAGGCCCAGAAATTGGCTTTTTTCTTGCTGCATCCGCACAATCAGATAATAATGACAGCACTGTAAAACTCATCAAAATTATTTTGACAACAGAAAGAACCATCCCTGGAAAGGCCATTATTGCACCTCCTTGAATTTTTGTCCCTTTTTTTTTTGTCTTTTCTGTATTTTGTTTTTCAAATTCAAGGCCTCCTAGGAGGCAAGAGTTAAAAGTGCGAAAATGATTCCTCTTTCTTTACCTCTTATTTTTATACCTTAAAAATGGCTATTTGGTGATTCTATTTTTTCTTGAAGCTTATAAATCACTGAAAGATGTTGGTTTTGTTTTTGTTTACCGTAATTAATGATGCTATCTATGTACTTCATCCCTCAAATTTAGGCTCTATATTAGCGTCCTCCACTACAAAGAGGGCTATATATTATATTTGTCCTTGAATCTATGAGGACCTGGATCTCATGACATCATTAAGGATATCTAATTAAGGTGCACAAAGGCTAAAAAATTTTAAAATAAACATCATTAAAACAAGAAAAATTAATAATAAAATTTGGACTTTTTAAATGCTTCGTGGATATCTTAAAGATATAGCATTTCAGTTTATATATTATTTACATCCAAAGTCCAATATATATATATATATATATATATAGAAAAGCTAATCTAGTTTTCAAATTTGTCTGAGGGATATAAGTTAAGCCCATCTTCTTGTTTTTTTTTTCTTACTCTATATAAATAGTTAAGGTGAGTTAAGTCATTGATTAATTAGTCAATAACAAACATATTGATAAATGGATCCAAATTTATGCCTTTGTATATGGATTTAAGCCATGTTCTTACTTCTTACAAATTCCACTAACTTTTGTTTGACAACCTATATCTCGTTTCATACTTGTGCGCCACATATGAGAAACTTTCTAAATTTTGTGTCTATGTTTCTTTATAGGAAATAGGATACATATATCGCATTCTTTCTAAGCCGCTGGCCTCAAGTCTTTTAACACTTTTTTTAAAAAAAAGACTAAGTCTAGTTTTTTATTTCACGTAAGTGTCCTCCTAATGGAGAGACAATTTGATCGGAGACACGGTATATTTCCCAATAAGGATTCAAAGACTAAAAGTATCATTTGTTGACAGCATATGCTAATTTTTTTTTCCCTGATTTTTGCTTATTGTTGAGGTATAGGAAAATGACCTTGAAATCTTTTAAAGACCGACCAACTCATACATGTTAGCACGAATTAATCAAAATTTCCGGTTAGAGTATATTTCTAGTCAAATAGCCATTTTTTTACGCTACTTATCCTTTTCCGTGTATACCTATTCTAGTCAAATAAATTAGCACAATTCATAGATAATAGAATTGAGTACATCCAACACCTACAATGGTTACCATAGTTGTAAAGAGCCCGTCTAATGTCCTACATGGGCCTGTATTTGGGCCTCGTTATCACTACAAAAATTTTGTTGGCAAGTAACTTATACATATATACTGCAAACTAAATTAACATAAGTTATGATTGTTTTGATTATTTGAATAAGTAATTGGGGGTTTGAATCACAATTCTTGTACATGCAGTAATTTAATTGAAAGAGATCTATTTATCGTTCTTAATACCTTGGGGAAGATATTCTCTATTATCAACAACACTTACTCCTTGTACTTACAAATAAAAAAAAAAAAATTCATGCGCCTAACAAAGTGTTCTTTTTAACTGTGAAGCCTATATCAGTTAAATCTTGATAAATTATCTAATTTGCAAAAGCATTTTTATTTCGAAAAAAAAAGTGATCATTCAATCCATAGTAGAGATATATCGTATGGTGTAAGTTTTGTTTTTATCAATCATGTCTTGATATCTTATATATTATATATAATATTTAATTAATATTGAATTAATAAGGAAAAAAAAGGGAGATCATAACAACATATAATAAATGGCTCCTTGACAAATCAGGCAATGTGTATACATAGCAATTTGGTTACTCTAGAATAGAAGAGTCTCGAGGAGGAGAATTAAAAAGTAATAGAGGCTGCAGAATCAAGGAGTGCACTTGGATTTGGTAAAAGCAGCATCGTTGGGTTGTTTGACCACAGAAGAACAGTCGTTGCCATGTTGGATTGTGGTTTCGGAGATGACAACGTTGCTGCAATCCTCAATACGAATGGCTTCATTATTTGGGGTCTCAGCAGGTGCAACCACTTTCACTGATTTTAATGTCAGGTTTGACGATTTCATCACGTACAGGTCCAGCCCCATCGCATTCGCCGACGTGATGTTCTCTATAACTCCATCCTTCACGTTGTTGAATTGAAAGGTCTACCCACAGAGTTCAAAACATAAAGCGCACACGTTAATCATGCATTAGAACTTACACTACTGCCATAATTAAAGATGTAAGTTAAAAGAGCATTTTCTGCCCTTAACTATTCACTCCAGAGCATTATTATTTTAAACTTTTTTAGTACAATTTTGCCCTTTAATATCTAAAACGGTTCTTATATATGTAAATCTAAGTTCAATATATATATTATGTATAGTATAAGTAAGCTTTTAAACAAAAGCTGTATCCAACTCACGCGTGCTTAATGCTGATTTTTGTGAGGGTGTACCCAAACAAACTTGAACTTGCGTTTTCATTCAATCAAATGCATAGAAGAAATATGCACAGTAATCTAGCATGTAAATCTCAAGCATTGTTAGCACATTTTTTTCACGCTAAAACAAAAGCCAATCTCTCCTATTTACACATCAATCAAAATTTTCAAAGAACTATATATTCATGTGACTACTTTTCTCATGTTGGAATAACAAAACACACGTACTGTCATCGATCAAAGAATTTACTTATAACAAATCAGCCAACATCCTGCCGTTAACTCAATTAACATTGATTGACTAAAAATTGCAAAAAAAAAAACATGTAAAAAATGACAAAAATGACTCATAAAATTGCAAATGAGCATTCTAAAAGAAAATTAATATGAATTAAGTTTTTAAAATAATGATTGATCAAAATTATATTTTAGCTTTTATATGGGTAAGAAATAACATTTGTATCTTATCATTTATATAAATAATTTTATTATAGATGCTTATGTATAATTTTATGAGCCATTTTGTGTAATTTTTAAGTCACTTAATAATTGAAGTTAATTTTTTGATGATGATAAGGTGTCAGATGCATTATTTTTAAATATTGAAAAGTCAAACTGTACCATGAAAAATTTAAGATGCTTACAAATGCGTCTAATCAAATAGTTGGGGGATGAAAATGTTTTTTTAATCCAAAAAAACAATAAAATAACTGAGATGGGTCAAAAAATAGGAACTGAGATACGAAGACTCACACTGGGGAGCCTGACGCAGTCAGAGAAAGGCTTGTAGTCGCAATCGAATGTGGAAGGCCACATGAGCTTGCCCTGGGCATCAAAAGTGCCACCACCAAGGAGGCTAACACCAGTAAGGTCTTGGAAGATCAACCAATCAGCATTGACATAGTCAGAAGGATCAGTGGAAGCCAAAATGGTGCCTTCCACTTGAATAGTGACAGGATCAGGGGTCAAGCATGGCCCTGCAAAGAACATGGTCGACACCAAGAATTGCCCTTGTGGCACCACCAGCCTCGCCTGCTCCTTTGACTTGCATGTTGCTTGCCATGCGTGCATGAATGCCTACATTCATTATAACATGTCTACACAGTAAAACACCCGCGCATATATTTACATAATTTGAACCAACTATTAGATTTCATTTATCTTCTATTTGTCAACTCAACGATTAATTATCTTAATAACAACATCATCTTTTTTTAAAAAAAGAGAGTTTTAAATTTGTACTTAATATTGATATGTTTGTATATATTTTATTTAATGAGATAAAAGTTTGTTGTTTGTTGTATTGATATGTTTGTATATGCACGTACTGAACGTGATGAATCAAATCTAAAGGGGAAGGGCTCTTTCCCAACACTTCAATACTCCCGTGGGAAAAATTAAATTTTTTTTACTTTGTAAAAAACATTAAATTGGATTTTGGCTCCCTCGTTTCATGTTTGAGTTTCAATTTAACCCTCCCAATTAATAGCTCCTGGATTTGTCACTGTGTATTTGGCGTGTGTTTTTCCTTTTCTGTAGGAAATGGCTAGACACATAAAGTATGCAAGGAAAATTTTTTTTGACTCTGTAGCTGTTGAATGATTTGAGTGCCAATTTTATATATTCAAATTAAAATTTTAAAGTTGGGAGAACACTTGACACCTGGAAATATAACATTATCAAACTTCTCTACAGCACATGAATAGTGAATTCATAATAACAAAAAGTTTAGGTGTAAGCAATGTGTCTTTATTTTGAATGACAAAAAAAAAAATTGTAAGTGAATTTGGATTTCAGGAACTACCGGTTCGTGATTAACAAAAAAGAAGAAGAAGAAGAAGAAGAAGTTTAGAAATACATTTACAAAATGCCGATTAACAAAGTCACAAAATTTGAAATCGGGTGGATTATGAGCCAACTATTTTTTTTATCAACAATGTAATTTGCTACTTGTAAAAATTGAATCACCATATTCAAACCCTAGCTAGCCCTAGGGATTTCAATTGATTTTTTTTTAACGTATGTAATTCACTATTAATCAAGGTTTGATTATTCCACGCCATAAGTAATCACTGTGGAGGCGGAATTCTAAATTCTATATGTACCATAAAAAACTTGATTTGCTTTCAATATTTCCAGAAAGGGAACTCATCTCTTCGAAGTCTGATTAACACAGGCAATACGTATGAAACAAAGACAAGGAAAAAAAAAAAACAAATACAAAGATACTACTTACATCGCAAAAAAAATATATTAATCTTAATTAATTTAATTACCTCAGTGCTTTCGAACTTGGGATCGGATTTTGGCTCCAAAATCCAAGACATTGATTAATTTCTCAGAAAGCCCGCAATATGCGAGGCCGGCAAAGCATAAAATAAAGAACAACACAGGCTTTGCCAGAAATAATTCCCATTTTGCAACCTCTAGAAAACCCCCTAATGGTTATTTGTACTTGTAATTTTTTTTTTTGTTTCGTGTTTAATTACAGTACGAGGTTCTGGATGGTATTTGTATGAGT